TCAGTCAGGCCGCTTTAGTATTCGCAGATAGCGAACGTAGATCTTGGTCTTATCTGCAGTAAATCGTAAATCATGAAGCCGCTTAAAAGCGACTAGTGGTCAGAGATGGCCTATGGGTAGCGTCCGATCCTTTCCATTTTCCTAGGATAACGGAAAACGAGTTACGACCAGGGTCGGAAAGTCAGAGTCGACATCGTAAAGCTTTAGAAGATCGCGTGCGCGCTTGTATTTTAACTTTATCCTGATCTTTTTCTCAGAATTTAAATTGACTTCTTGAAAATCCTCGTTCCTTAATGAGAATTTATTCCAGTCACTCGGATAATTTTTGTCCCAGTACAGATTTTTGTCATTATACTTGAAAGGAATTCTATACATGCTGCTATTATAATTTGTGCTTAAAAAGCACATATTTCACGTATGAAGATATGAAATTGAGATAAAATATAAAAATTTTTAGATCCAACTGTCATAGCGTATGTATCCTCTGAAGTTAATGAAGTGTACAATTATACTGAGGATACATGAGTTAGAAGTATATGAAGTAATAGAAAGAATAATGAAGAGGAATAAGAAAAAAATGCATTTTTGAGATAACATGAAAGCACGTTTTTTCAATTTAGTAGAGATGCTAAATTGAGATTTGCTGAGCATAAAAATTTATTTTGACATCAATTAAAATTGGAGTATTTAATAAACATTTCTAAGGAGAAAGAATTAATTATTTCTTTAAAATTAATCTTATTTAATAAAATTAAATTTTATAATTAGCAATTAAAGATTGAAATAATTTAATTACAGAAATATGATGAAGGAAACCGCGAAAAAAAGTAAAGTAATTAGAGATCCGAAGCTTAGTTTAAATTACAGAATTATAGGAAATGAAATATAAAACTGCATAGACTACGATTTTTATTCCGAGATTTAGATTAAATTTTTTCTTTTGGTAAAAGGTAAAGACACATATATAAATGAAAGTGCACTCGTTGGTCCATTTATGAGCACTTCCCAGACATTTTTACTTCACGAGAAGAAAAAGAGCATGGAAATAGAGTGGGTAACAATTTTCTTCGATATATGAGTTATAAAACGCTAAAGTGAAATAAAAGAGTGAAATATAAAAAATATAATCAAGCTTTTAGGGCTCCACCTGTTCATTTATCTATTAAATGAATTTTTTTATACGACATTAATGGGCTTTACATTCAAATAAGTATTAGGGCCAGGGTTTGGATATATTTTTTTTTATGTGGTCGTTAGATAAATAGCATCATTCATTTATTAGAATATTAAAGCTAAAAATGTTAGCTGTAAATTCGTTAATATAGTCGTAAAAATTAATATCTGTAACAAGTTATGCAAGCTAAAAAATTAAACCTTCTTTATTATAGTGTGCAATCAATAAATATTGGACTTTTCTGGATTAACAAGCGTATTTTATTCCAGTAGTTGTGGAAAATTGGTGTGCTTATGAGAATGCTTCAGTAAGCAAGTTGAATAACGAGACAAGCCAGCGACACATTAGTTTACCTGATGGTTATAGTATCTATACATTTGCAGGTGTATCCTGGTGCTTGTATTCTGGCTGCAACCGTCGCAATGTTGGATCCATAATGCACAATATAGAGGTGTGATAGATCGTGATATCATATAACACTTAGAAATGTGGATATTAACACAATATACAGTGTAAAGACCTGTCTGAAACTATTGTGAAAGCTGTATCAAATAGCTTGAGTTAATTCCAGATCGATTTCATGTTGAAGTTGTTTTCGTTTTTTAATTATATAATGTTAATATCTACATTCATTATATTTGTTCATTATATCAGCAAACAATAAGGATTACTTTATATCATATTTCTCATCGTCTATTATTCAATTAAATCTCTCTTCCCCTATCAGCAAAAATTGAAAGTAATCTTTTGAAAAAGTAATATCACTGATAAATTTGTTATTTAAGAAAATTGATGAGAAATTTCCGGTTTTTTCTTCAATCAAATTGAAGCTGTTCGATTCCCAGAGGTTGAACTAGAACCTAAAAAATATTTTTCTCTCGATCCAACTGAGTAAACTGACCCAGTTAGGTCATACCTTGAATGACATGGGTAAATTAATCAAAAGAGTCAACAGTTATCTGGTACTTGCAATGTACTATATGATCACGTTACATTCTAAGATTATTTATTCAGATAATGATTAATTTATTGAATAATGTTATACTAATATGCTCAGTATTGTTTAATACGATGTAAAGTAACCACATTAATTTTAAATGAAACGTGAATAAACATAGTTGATACATACCTAATGAAACATATACATATTAAATCACTCGATTTAATTCTAGGATGGTTTTAATGAAGTTTAAATTAATTCATTGTATTGATCGTAAGATTTGTCAGAGGATGGTACACAATTATTTGTTATGCAAGATAGAATTACTAGTGTTGTATCATTCTTGTTAATTATTAAAGCAATCTTTCAGTAAGTTAGAAAATCAATAATTTTGATATCAAAATTTTAGCATCCATTTGTTTGCTTGTCTTGACAGTTTAATTCAACGTAAGTGATGTTATAATTTTATAAAGAGGATCTCGGAAGGATTTTTTATTTTGACTGTCAAGTTTTATAAAATAATGATGAGACAGTTATAAAATGCATAATACATAGTATCCCAACAATGAAGGAATTGAATTTTTTTATTTTTAATATTAAATATTAAATGTGCATAATTTTATTTAAATATCTTCATTTATATTTTTATTTACATTCATGAATATTCTATTCTATTTACTCATTTTTTCATAACTTCCGGAATAACAGCATTTTCTTCCTCCACTTTTACATATTTTAATATGATTATTCTTCCAATTTTCATTCTTGAAAAATTGATTCAAATAAATATATCAAAGTGAACAATTACTACATACATTCAATAGAAATAATCGGGAGTCACCTATAACTTAACCTTTATTTAAAGTTTATAAAGAGGTAGAAAAGACTGTTACACTCATGCAATAGTCGAAGGAAGACTGCAAGGGTAGTATCTTGAGAGGGCTTATGTAAGCTTCTGAAGAGAATTATGTGAAGAATAATACCAAGCATTTTCAGGAGACGATCTTTTTTGTCTACGCTAGATGCTACGCCAAGAATGCACGCTCGCATATTTCAGAGATACTTTTATGACACGTGCAATAAAATCCTATTGAAAATAGGAATTTTCATTTTCTTAACAGCCTGGCTGTAGACAAATTAAAATTGCTATCGAAAGCTTGATAATAAATAATCACTGTCCAATTTACTTATAGAATCGTTCAATTTAAAACACACTAGTTCAAACAAATAAAAATAAATTTGTATATTTTTTTATTGTCAATGGTTTTTTAATTTTTATTGTAAAAAAAAGTCTATCTCAGTCGGTAATTCCTCATATGATATATGAAAAGCATTAATGAACACGAGTGTACAAAAGAGAATGACTATTTTTATAGAGTGGTTTTTATTGGGAAAATTAAAAAGTAATTAAAATGGTAATTCTCTAAATTAAAGTATTATAAATTCAATAGTGATGAGAGATATATCACAATCACTAGAGGAAAAGCAATCATTAAATGATTGCTTCATACGCGAAATCGTTCTCAAATAAATCACACGACAGGCTCAGCGGTAGGTTGCGGGAATTCAGGGTGAATGGCTTTGACTTATACGATTCCTCCTCACATTGAATCTGGATTTAACACCTCATCCCTTTTGATCTCTCATTTCCTTCAACCGAAAACTTCCCTATCTTGACGGAATGTCGAATCCAGATGCTCCACACGTTTTCAAGTAAACCTCCATAGCACTTAAGTTCGTTGATCATTGTCAATTTAAAGCACTTGTAGACAGTTATGTCTTATAAATTTTTCTTCAGTTAATCATGATTTTTCTTAGCGCCGTTGTCACTGACAGCAATGAAATCTTGAGGCTCTATAGAAATTACACAAACAATGACATTGAAAGAACTCTTTTCATGTCACCAGAAAAAGAGATAAATTACTTCTTTCAATATAACGAGGAGCAAAAATGCGAATAATCATCATATGAATAGTTTTTATTACGTTATCGTAATCGATTTTAAGTTTTTTCTTGGATCTCTAGCTTTTTGTTAGAATAAAATCCAATTCATTTACTCTATTCCCTTGTCAAAGACTGATTCAATTTTTTCAAGGTTGTTGAAGATAATTTTTTCAATGATTTTGCTTAATTAAATCTATTAGATTAATTCTTACTTTCTGAGATACCATGGGTCTTAAAAAAAAATTATGGTCCAGTCTTTAATATGGTCCCTTAATTCATTTTGCGAACACGCTACGTCTTCCATCAGTTAGCCTACAAATATATTGAAAAATAATTTCTTGGCAATAAACAGAAACTTTGAAAAGTGACAAATGGTGCTAATTCAACAGAGTAAAATGTAATTGAAAAAAAAAGTGACCTGTAATCCTATCTTCTTCTTTACTTAGATAATTCTATTTAAAATATCGAGCATAATAAAAATATGTAATCAACAAAATGTATTTTTTAATGCATAATTTTTTTTTATTATTTCAAGTAACCATTGAAATTGAATCTACAAAAACAATACCATCAACCGAGGCTACTTCGACTCTGCGGAGTTACTTTAACAGTTTTGATTATCTTATAGTGCACAAACTTCCTGGAACCTCTGAGTCGACCGAAGAGATATCCAAGGTAGATCTTGAATCTAGGAATCTTCTTTTTATATCGATTGGCAAAACCCCCAGAATCGCAAAATATGTCAAAGAAGCCTCGATTTACGGTATTATATCAATTCTAAAGAAAATATTTTATTCCTCTATTAAAAATTTTGATTTTATTATTTGAATAAAATATTACTTATTTACAGTAAATTTATTTCTCAGTATACTTGTTAATCAATATGTCCTGGAGAACATTAAACAGATCAACGACTGATAAATGAAATTTCATTGGTTTCAGAATATCAATTGTCGGGAAGAAGTTGAAAGCCATCTTGAAATGTAAGTAATTTCCATATTGAAATCATGAATTTGCATTCAATTCATAATAAGAGACACTAGCAATAAATTAAATGCCGCGCCGATAGTGAAACGTTTGGTAGTTTGACCTCCGACATTTGGCTCTTGGCTCAGCAATGCTTCAGTCAACCTACATCCCTTGCGTCAATTACCGCGACGGTATTTCCAGCCGTTTCTCAGCAGCAGCAGCTAGACTACTGGTGGCCTCGATGGCGCGAACAAGGCGATAAAGCGAGAATAGGTGACGCCCGGGACTGAGGGAACGTTGGAAATTAACGCCCCATTCTCCCTAGTCGATGGTCTCCGCGTGGTTCTCATCTTCGTACCAGTTTTCGCAAAACGGTTTTCACCACTGCGTAGCTGGGATTACATTAATTGAATATTCATGCTGCAGATTTGCATCAATTCTTTGGTATCGGCTCTTACTCGCATTTCCACTCCCCCATTTGCCCTCTCTCAAATATGCCAATCCCAATGATGCACTCCATATTATTTGACTATCTGCTTTCAATAAACATGTGTTCAAATAGTCACAAAGCTAGTCAGGAATATTGTGTGTTGTTTTTTATTTTTTCGTAATTTTATTTTCATCTCATGCAAGTTTCAGATACTAAAAATGGAAGTCTTTTTTAAAGACGGAATCATTAATATTTCATTATTTAAACAGCGTCAATTTACATCTTTCAATCAAGAATTTATGGAAATTGTTGATATTCATATTTAAAATAACTGATCAATCTAGCTTTAAAAAAATTAAATTCAATACAAATATTTTTTCTACCGAAGTAAAAAAAAACTGCAGTGCTGAACTTAACTTTTTATGTAAGTTTTTTTTTTGCAAAGCAGTTTTCAGTGTTTATAAATAGACTATAAAAATAAGTCTTCATTAAAGCATGAAGTGAATTTATTATTATTCTGTTAAAAAATGATAAAAAATTTAATTGAACTATTATTCGTATAATTATGCAATTTAAATTACAAATCATGTATTCTTTATAAACTAAGAAAATGAAATAATTATGAATTCACTAAATATTATTCTGCAAATATATTCTACATAAAAGTGTTAATGAGGACAAAAACAATATTTTGTGCTTCAAAAGAAATTAATTTCACTTTATGTACATTTTTAAGAACTCATAAGAAGTTTCAGATGAATATTTTATTTGTTTCATACAAATGTGTTATAATATACAATTTTAAATAATGAAGATAACGGAAAATTATAAAATAACAATCCAATTTCGATAGTAGTTTGAAGGATAAATGGAATTGATGCAGCCAATAAAATGATGCATAAAAAGTGTGATATAGTCTTTTTGAAAAAGGTTGAAATGCGTCTTAGCACTTTTGTTGATTCAATCAGCATCGATTTTGCCATGTCTTCATGAAAAGTTTATTTTCTCTCGTCTTTTTTTCAATGTAAATCTCGTGTTTTCGGATTCTATGTTGATAGTAGCACCAAGGATGTTGTCTTCATGGGTAAGCATTCACGTAATCTATTTCAATTTTCGATTGCGTCGCTCGCATAAACTTATCATCTTAGTCTTTCCATGTTTCTGCTCCTGAATACTGAAATGTGTTGAATATATATATATTCCACAGTGCTATTTTCAATTTACATTTGTCTTCGATCCAAATGGCATACAGTGAAAATATTTAGTAAATATTTTATTCCAAATGAAATCTTGGTATTTTTTGTGAGATAAAAAGATTGTGTTTGGAATTAAATTGTTAAATACAACATTTTAAGGAATTGTATTAACTATGATAATAAGGATACAGAACGAAATTCGTTTTCCTCTCCTCGGGTGCACCAAAAACATTTTGTTCTAGACAAAGGATGGACTGATGGGTCCTAAATAGAACATGAGCGACTATTAATGCTTCGGGAAAACAACACATTCTGTTTCAAAGCTCGCAGTTAACGAACAAAGAGAAACAATTGTTTCTCGAGGATTAAAGCACTTTTGTTTTTATCATTCTCTGATGTATGTCTACAATTTTTTCCATTATTATTTATTATAATAAAATTCGGAGAATCTCATCTGTCACAAGAACTCGAAAGTTATCAAATATTCTTAATTTTCGGAGTAATAATATTTTTTTACCATTCAAATCATCAACGGTTTAATTTTTTCTTGTATTTCCACACAAGAAGAGTCACTTATGACTTTTTGTTGAATTTATCAAACCAATAAATTATAGTAAAGTATGGTATTTTGTTTGAAAGATTTCACAATAATATAATTAAAAGCAATAGCAAAAAAAAAAATTTCACGGTGTCTAGATTAATGTAAAGTACAAGAATAAATTAGCTGGCATGGACAAAAAAATGGGCGTAAGTATATATATATGAAATGGTATTTCACGAGTTAGCTCGAGCTATCCAGCTTTTTTGGCGTCGAATAAATTCGACGTCACCGGTGTAGTTTGGACAAAGTACAAAAATCGATTTTCCAGGCTCGACTCGCGAGAACTTCCGGCGTTTAAAGAGGCTCATTATTTAGCTGCCACGATCGAGCATTTAGTCGGCCTGAGACTTGAGGAAACAGACCAGGAGAGTTGGATCACAACGACTAAGATTGATAAATTATCAGCTTTGAAAAATGTTAAACCAATGCAACTGGCTCTCTAACATCGTTCTCTCTATGCTTCCGTTACTCGGTTTAGACAAGTTCTTTTCCGTGAAAGTTGCAAGCCGACTTCTCTCGTCAATCCATGAATACCCCAACGATAGATTTGGAAGGATGCATGTTCTCTACATAAATTTTGGCTCGTACCAGCGTCGCCTGTCATAGACGCGGTCGTGTTCAACGAGCCGGATTCGACGGGGTATTTCTCATTTTAACGTCGACGTGACTATGACATTCATCCCTCTTTTCTCTCTTCCACCTTCAAACTTTTTATCAAATTTATTCCCTGTCAGATTTTATCTTGGATCTAAATTGATTTAAAACGTTCACCAGCGAAATTGTTAAATAACTTGCAGCTATAAATGGTTTTTGTATATAATATTGTTAATATATTGAAGCTCTGACTAAATGTATCGATTGAATTGCATGGGCGAGACAAATATCCATGGGTTGAGGTCAGACTCGTGTATCGGACATTTCTTGATTTATGTAACTTCACACGAGTGAACGTGTTACGCGTTAATGGGTATTCGTAATTTGTATAAATTGCAGCCAAATTTATCATCCTCATCGATATGACATTCCTTTCCACTTTAGACCTGATAATATAAACACATGAAAAACAATTTTTTTCTTTTAACAAGTATCGACTTTTCTATTTTTTGGTTCATTTTTTACCTTCCAAATTCGTAGACGTCATGTCATGTCTCTTGACGTAAATTTTGCATCCGTTAAATTTTTCACTCTTTTCTGTGTATATTGACTAAAGTAAAGTTGAACAGAAAAAGTGATAAACAATGCAAAATAAAAAATTTCAATTTTTTCTCGCTATACCAAAATGAAAATAAAAGAACCCACGAATTCTACGTATTTATTTTCGTGAAACGTGAGTAAGAGAAATGTAAGGCAATAACGTACACTAGTAGAACATATAAAAGTCCATAGAGAAAAATAGAAATATATTTTTATTCCATATATATTCCTTTGCATTTTTTCGTTTTGTTTTATTTTACCGTTTTGGAATACATTTTGTTTTTTATTTCCCTAAATTCCGTCAAACATGACTCTATCCATATGCACTACCAGTGCCAAAATTGATTCTACCGCAGTTTTTCTCATAAAATAGGATTACAAATAAAATAAATGTTTCGACGCAATACATTCCAACTTCGGTACGGAATATTCACTAATATTCCTCTAATAACCAAAGTGTAAACTCTTGAATGAACTAACAAACCTCTCGAGTTACAAATTAAATTTGAATTATGTAATTCCTCATCAAATGTTATCAAATTGTTCAAAAATACATCAAAAACAGCAAATAAATTAATTTGATATTTAAACGATCACTCAACTTGAAACATTTCTTCCATAAAAATAAATACAACAATTCTGATGTATGTAGATGATCAATGGTTTCGTTTAAATTATCAAATTAAACTTCATCGTTGCTCTGGCAGAATAATTTTAAATGTAATTGAGTATGATAGATGATTATTGTTGTATATCTTAACGAAATTTGAATGTAATGATATACTCAGAGTTGGTATTATATGCGAACGTCGAGCATAAGGCAAGTCTTTATCACTTGTCAGCACAGATGATGGCAAAGATGATTTATTTGATATTCGCGTGAGTGAAAAAGTGAGCAATATTTCATGGTCTAACGATGAAAGCAAAAGAAAATGAGGGAGAATGAAACAAGAGAAAATTAAAATTTACTTGCAAGCTTTCATTACGTTCATATGAAAGAATGGGGGGATAGTCACTATTTTAGACCGAAAATAGGAGCATCCTTGCTTAAAATTGTCAGCGACGGGGCGGCTCATTAAAATAGTTAAACCCTCATTAAAGCAGTTAAACGATGTCTAGAGGAGGTACTGAGGTGTCTTGCATGCTATTCCACATCAAAACTCCCTAGCCGTTGCTCGCGCGGTGATAGGGTCGGATATCATAGTGAAAGTTCCCTTTAACTATATTTGCGACGGTATATCACTGTGCCCTAGGGCTCCATTTTCTTTTCTCTCACTCTTTCTTATTCTGGTGAAGAAGAAGAAGATGCTCTTTAATATCTCCCTAACTGACTTCAAAAATCATAAAACATTTTTTTTATGACTTTTTAAAAACTTTCTTTTATATTTTAACTATTTAAAATTTTTGTGAAAAGTTGTTTCAAAATCATCCATCAAACTCTGAATGGTCAAATTTTCTATACATCAATTTTTTCAATCGCCAACAAAATTTTACAACCTCAGAAGTGAAGTGAAGCACATCTTTAAATATTTAACATTCAATCTAATTTATGAGTTTAAGATTGAAAATAATTATCAGTAAATGTTAGGAAAT